TTTGTAACTCAAAGGATAAATGCTTAATGGGATGGATATATTATTCCCCATGATGTGCTTATTTCACATTGCATGCCTGTATCAAAATACCTTACGTGCCCTATAAATATATACACCTACTATATACCCACACAAATTTAAAAAATAAAAAAAATTAAAACTAAAAACTAAAAACATAAAGTGGCAGTTCCCCCAGCATTTTCAACTCATATCTCTCCCTATCACATCCCTTCGTTAGCAGTTATCACCTTTATAATTTACTCTTTGAAAATGCTTACTGCCTCTATTCCCTAGTAGGATGTTAACTCCATGAAGTTAGGGATTTGGGGGCTGTTTTGTTGCACTAAACATCAAGTACCTGATGGTCAATTCACCAAGTATTTAAGTTATAAGTTCTCCACCTCTTTGGTATCTCATGCATTACTTATCTTATCAGATTAATTTTATTATAGTAGTCATTTCATCCAGAGATGCCTGCGGAGTCTTTTGGGGGAATCATTAATGTTTCAAGAAAATGACTCTGATGTATGTGTTTTGCTGCCCTCTACATTGTAAAGATACTAGAAATATCTGTCCCTTATATATATATATTCATCCATATATACGTGTGGGAGTTTATTAAGTAGTATTAACTCACATGATCACAGGGTCCCACAATAGATCGTCTGCAAGCTGAGGGGCAAGGAAGCCAGCCCGAGTCCCAAAGCTGAAGAACTTGGAGTCCAATGTTCGAGGGTAGGAAGCATCCAGCATGGGAGAAAGATGTAGGCTGGGAGGCTAAGCCAGTCTAGCCTCTTCACATTTTTCTGCCTGCTTTATATCCTGGCTGTGCTGGCAGCTGATTAGATGGTACTCACCCAGATTGAGGATGGCTCTGCCTTCCCCAGCACACTGACTCAAATGTTTATCTCCTTTGGCAACACCCTCACAGACACACCCAGGATCGATACTTTGCATCCTTCAATCCAATCAAGTATTAACCATCACATTATCTAACATTTTAATTTTCCCAATTGATTTAAATATTTAGTTACTTTAAATAATATAATTAGCTATGATCGTGCCACTGCACATCAGCCTGGGCGACAGAATGAGACTCTGTCTCTAAAATGAATGAATGAATGAATATATGCACCTACCACCCCCCAAAAAAGGTATGAACTTGATGATAACCTCCATCTATCCATGTAGTCCCCCAATTCGTTGCCTTGCCCCCACCCTCAACTGAGGTAAATATCATCCTGAATCCCAAGTTTATTGTTTTTAAATTTCTTCTTAATGTAATTTGATTGCAACTACACAAAATCCTAAATAGTTCATATCCTTTATATTAGCAGCTTTTTTTTTTAAGAGACAGGGTCTTGCTCTGTCACCGAGGTCGGAGTGCAGTGGCACTGTCATAGCTCACTGCAGCCTTGAACCCCTGGGCTCAAGGGATCCTCCCACCTCAGCTTCCCAAGTAACTGGGATTACAGGTACACACCACCACACCTGGCAAATGTTTAAAATTTTTGTAGGGATGGGGATCTCACTTTGTTGCCCAGGGTGGTCTTGAACTCCTCTCTTCAAGAGATCATCCCACCGCGACCTCCCAAAGTGCTGGGATTACAGGCATAAGCCACTGCGCCCAGCCTATAGTAGTAGCTTTTAAGTTTATAAAAAGTGTGTTATGCTTTACATAATCTTTTGGGGTTATAGTTCCTCCTCCTTAATATTCATCCATACTGTTGGGTGTTGTTCTAGTTCATTCATTATGACTCCTGTTGATGAGCATCCATTTATGTTTCCAGGTTTTGCTGTTGTGAACAGGATGCCATGCTGGTATGGTTTGAATATTTGTCCCCTCCAAAACTCATGTTGGAATTTAATTCCCAATGTAGCAGTATTGAGAGGTGGGGCCTTTAAGAGGTGAGTGGGTGTTGAGGTCTCTGTCCTGCCCTCATGAATGGATTAATCCACTAATGGGTTAACCCCTTAATGGGTTAGTAGATTAATGAGTTAAATGATTAATGGCTTATCATGGGAGTGGAACTAGTGGCTTTATAAAAACAGGAAGAGAGACCTGAGCTAGCATGCTCGGTCCCTTCACTGTGTGATACCCTGTGCTACGTTGGGACTCTGCAGAGAGTCCCTACCAGCAAGAAGGCCCTCACCAGTTGCAGCCCTTCAACCTTGGACTTCTCAGCCTCCATAACTGTAAGAAATAAATTGTTTTTGTTTAGAAATTACCCAGTTTCAGGTATTCTGTTGTAAGCAACAGAAAACAGACTAAGAAACAGGCATATCCTAGGTTTCTTGTGCAAGTGTCTCTCTTGGATACATTCATGAGAGTGGACTCACTGGACTGTAAGGTATGTATGTATTCACTGTAGGAGAAAATGCGAAAATATTTTCTAAAGTGTTTGCAATGATTTACATTCCTTCAGCAGGGCAAGAAGATCCTGTTGGCCTACATACTCTCCAACTGTTGGTACTGTCAGACTTTTACGTTTTTGCAATTTGAATGGGTTTAAAATACCATTTTATTACGTCTTGACTTGTATTTTCCTAATGACTTTGAACATCTCTTTATATGCTGGCTCTACATTTCCTTCTTCTCTGAAGTGGTCTAACAGAGCTTTTTTTTTTTTTTTTTTGGTACTATTATGACATCCAAGAAAACTAACAATGATTCTTGGCACTCTATTAGAAGTGTATGCATGCCAAATATGTTTCCACGGATTCAATTTCTTCTTTCATTTATTCATTCAACAAACATTTGCCCAGACCAGGGATGCAGGGGCAGAATGACAAGCTGGGATAATCAAAGTTCAACTGCTATGATTCGAATGTTTGTCTCCTCTGAAACTCACATTGAAATTGCCATTGTAACAGCATTAGGAGGTGGGGCTTTTAAAAAGTGAATAGGCCATGGAGGCTCCACTCTCATAAACTGATTAATGCTGTCATTAAGGGAGTGAGTTAGTTACCAAGAGTAACTAACTCAAGAGTGGGTTGTTATAAAGTGAGCCCAGGCCCTTGTGCTCTTTGTTCATATGCTTCCTTGCCCTCTCGTCCTCTGCCATGGAATAATGCAGCAAGAAGGATGCTGGCACTATGCTGGACTTCCCAATCTCCAGAACTATGAGCCAAATAAGCTTCTTTTCTTTATAAATTACCCAATCTGTGGTATTCTCCTATAGAAGCAGAACATGGACGAAGACACCAATTGTCTAAGAAAATAAAAATGAAATCAGACTATAAAAATGTGCCCTGCCATTCACCAGAATGGAAGAACAGACACATATAAAGCCAAATGCAAAATTCACAGGAAACATTATTTCTTCTAAGGACATGCTGCAGTTTTAATGCCATAAAGAACCCCTACTTTAGGTGACTATTGCTTCCTTAGTCATGGAGACACTTTGTTCTCTACAATCATAGACTATCAGAAATTGCTGTTTGAAATTACATCAGTAAGAGTGAAACATCAGACTCTTGAGATTCCAAGTCACTTCCGGAGAAGCAACATTCAATTTTCAACTCAGGTGCAGAGCTTTAGGCAAGAGTTATCTGGGGACACAAAATTCTACAACTAAATTGTTTCCAAGGAAACAGCACTCTGGGTTCACTTCACAGTCCAGACCTGACATTGACCCTTTACATAGAGGGTCAATTTACACATTGGAGGTGATAAGGGGCAGCAAACTGGTGGAAGGGTAGAAGCAGAGCCTTGTATTAAAGCTACATTTCCAAAGCAAGGGCATCATGACTATATAGATTTGACTTCATGAGGAAATAAAAATAATAACTGCTTTGAGCCCACTAAAACATTGCTTCATTTCAATTTCATCTCAACTCCACTATTCCTCAAAATCATGTAAGAAGTCTCTTTTCCTTTGCTTAGTGAGCTGCCCATGGTGCCCCTGGTATGCAGTCTCCCTTATTGATTGATGGATCTGTCTGACCAAGAATTAGTTTGAGGCTAATTGGACTAGGACACCTCTAACCTTCGAGATTGTTAAACCGAGGACCAGAGGGGATAAGACTGGATGGAGAACCCCTAGCCAGTCCACACTTCAGCCTACACCGGGTCCTCTCACAGAAAGGCTTTCAGCAGGGCATACAGGCTTCTAGCTCTGTCAGGAAGATTCCCTGGAGAGGAGATACTTGAACTTGGTTTTGAAGGATGAATAGACATTCTTAGGTGGAGGACTGCACGACTTCTTCCCCTTCTGCTCTAGTGACATCTCCCACAGGGCAGGGACATCTCCAGAATTTACACATTGGAGGTGATAAGGGGCAGCAAACTGGTGGAAGGGTAGAAGCAGAGCCTTGTATTAAAGCTACATTTCCAAAGCAAGGGCATCATGACTATATAGATTTGACTTCATGAGGAAATAAAGATAATAACTTTTCCTAAAGATTTTTATTGACATACTGCGTTAGACTAAAGACATATTCAAAATTATCAGTACTGGTACACAGTCCCTTTTTAGTTAGGGTAGATGGAGTGGGAGATCAGGTAGATTGTTGGAGCATTAAAACCCCGCATCCAAGACCCACAGGCACAGCAGGAGGGAGAACCCCGCACTCCGAGTTCTCCCCTTTTCCCACCTCATGGCATATCCTAGGAAGGCTTGCACAACCCTGATTTCTCCTCCTCCTTCCCTTGTGGTATGTCCTAGGAGAAGCCTGTAGTCAACGTGACATCTCCCCGCTTCTCATCCTGTGGTATCTGCCAGGAGATAGCCGCGGCCGCCCCTGATTCTTTCCAAGAGGCCCTTCAGTTTCTCTGAACGGTATCGAACGGACCCATAGACTACAGATCCAAAGACCCCTCCTCCAGTAAGCCCGCCCAGAGAAACGTCCCCACCCGTGCTTCCCGCCATCAGCGGGACAGCTCCACCTCCCTGCTCTGTGAGTTTAGAGGTGTCCTCATCCTCAATACGGAATGGACACTACTCCAACATGGTGTACCCCATGGGGAAGCGCGACTTGGGCGCGGCCATGTTCCCTACCTGAACACGTCGCGGAGGGGCACCGAACATCCCAAACCCCTCACTTCCGTAATTTCTCCATGTTAACTCCTGGCTATTAGCGGCTTCAAACGTGGTTTTGCGCACGCGCGGACCCCCCTTTCCCTCACTCATGCGAAGTCCCAAACCCCGAAAAAGGGCGGTGCTAGGGGTAGTGACCGGAAGCGGCTGCGGTTCTCGCCGGTTCTCAGCCGGGGTTACATAGTTGTCAGGAGGATTCGACGTTCAGTGCCCAGGGATGTGGAGGTGATGGGGGACCGGGGTGGGTGAGTGCTAGGCGATTCTGTGTGGTCAGTGATGGAATCGTTTGTCTAACTTGAGTTGGATGATTCGCTCATCGTTTTTCAGGCTTTTCTCTTTTCTAATGTCACCCTTAAGGTCTTAAAGTTCATTCTAAGCCCCATTGGGTTTGGAGCATTGTTTTTTAAGAGTGTTAACTCGTATTCATTTGTCTTTTACTGAGGAGTTATTCAAAAGTGGGGTTTTCAGTGTGCAAAAGTTTCTTTGTAATGGATCTGTAACCTTAGTTTTCTGTGTTAGAAAAACACCTACGTGGAGCTCATTCCTTGAAATACAAGGAGACTTACGGCCTAGTGCGTAGTGCATTTTTAGAAACGTTCTGTATATACTTGAAAATAATATTTAATTATTTAGTGGTCAATTGTGTCATATAAAGTCTGTCCTTTTTTGTCTATTTCTTCTTTTACTTCAGGAGAGAGAAATTCTCCACTGTGATGGTAATTTGTCCGTGTCTCCTTACTGCTGTCTGTGATCCACTGTGAGTTACTTTTTGTATGAAGTATGAGACTTAGGTCGAGGTGCATTAACTTGCTTATGGATGTCCAGACTCAAGCACTATTTGTTGAAAAGACTATCTTTCCTCCATTGACTTGTCTTACCATTGTCAAAAATAAGTTGGCCATACTTATGTGTGGGCTCTTTCTGGGTTTGCGATTCAGTTCCATTGTCTATGTGTCTATCCCTCTGCCAGTACTACCATGCTGTCTTGAATTGGATAGAGTGATTCCTCGCACTTTATTCTTTTTCAAAAGTGTTTTAATGCCTCTGTTTCCTTTGCCTTTCCCATACACATTTTAGAAAATCTTGTCTCTATCTACAAAGCATCTTGCTTGGATTTTGATAGGAATTGCATTAAACATGTTTACCAACTCGGAAAGAAGTTAAGTTTTAACTGTGACAAATCTTCCAATCCATGTATATAGTATGTCTCTGTTTATTTAAATCTTTAAAAATTTCTGTCAATGGTATATTGTAATTTTTATCACACAAGTTCTGTACACGTCTTATTTAAATTTATACCTAAGTGTTTAATTTTTTTGGAGTGGTCGTAAATGGTGTTCTCTTTTAAGTTGCTGCTTATATATAGGAATACAATTGAGTTTTGTCTGTTGGTCTTGTATCCTGCAGTCTTGCTGAGCTCAGTTATTAGGTTTTACACCTTTTTTGGTAGATTCCTTTGGTTTTCTCCATGGGCAATTGTGTCATATACAAACAGGGATAGTTTTATTTCTTTCTTTCCAATCTCTGTACCTCTGCTTTTCTTCCTTTGTTACACTGGCAAGAAGTTCCAGTACTATGTTGAATAAGAGTGGTGAAAGTGGACATCTTTGCATTGTTTTCAGTCTTAGGGGTAACATATTCAGCCTTTTACCATTAAGTATGATTTTAGCTGTAGGGCTTTCCTTTTTTGGACCCTCTTTTTTGATTTGAGGAAGTTCCCCTCTATTCCTAATTTGCAGGTAGTTTTTATCATGAATGGGTGTTGAATTTCATCAACATCATCTGAATTTTTATGATCTTGTGATTTTTTTTTCTTTTTTAGCTTGCCAATATGGAGGGTTACACTGATTGATTTTTGAATATTAAACTAGCCTTACATTCCTGAAATAAACCCTACTTGGTTGTGATACATAATTCTTCGGATATATTGCAGGAATTGATTAGCTAATGCTTTTTTTAAGCATTTTTGCATCTAAGTTCATGGGAAATATTGGTCTATAGTTTTCTTTTTTATACTATCTTTGTCTGGTTTTATTTTGTATTTTTTGAGACAGAATCTCACTGTTGCTCAGGCTGGAGTGCAGTGGTGTGATCACAGCTCACTGCCAGGCTCAAGTGATCCTTGCAACTCAGCCTCCTGAGTAGCTGGAACTGCAGGCACACACCACCACACCCAGCTAATTTTATTATTTTTTTGTGAACAGTGTCTCATTATGTTGCCCAGGCTGGTCTCAATCTCTTGGGCTCGAGCAGTCCTCCTGCCTCAGCCTCCCAAAGTGCTGGGATTACAGGTGTTAGCCACTGCTCTTGGCCTTGTTTGGCTTTAGTTTTAGGGTAATACTGGCCTCATTGAATGAGTTGGGGACTATTTTCTCCTCTTCTACTTCTTTTTTTTTTGAGATGGCGTCTCGCTCTGTCGCCAGGCTGGAGTGCGGCGGTGCAGTCTCAGCTCACTGCAACCTCTGCCTCCCAGGCTCAAGTGATTCTCCTGCTTCAGCCTCCCGAATAGCTGGGACTATAGGTGCACACCACTACGCCCAGCTAATTTTTTATTTTTAGTATAGATGGGGTTTTACCATGTTGACCAGTATGGTCTCGATCTCTTGACCTCATGATCCACCCTTCTCGACCTCCCAAAGTGCTGGGATTGCAGGCGTGAGCCACTGTGCCTGGCCTTCTCTTCTATTTTCCGGAAGAGATTGTGTGGAATGAGTACTAATTTTTATTTAAATCCTTAAATGTTTGGTAGACTTCTCCATTGAAGCCATCTGGGCCTGAAAACTTTCGTTTGGAAGCTTTTTGATCATGGCTTCAATATCTGTAATAGTTATGTAACTATTCAGATGATCTATTTAATACCATTTTAGACTATTATATATAGTATATATAATATATATATTTAGACTAGTAATATTATTCTTTAGTAATAAAAGTAATAAAATTTATTACTTAGCAATAATACATAGTAACAAAATTATTTAGTAATAATATTCTATTGTATATATATGGCAAATTTTGTTTGTCTGTTCATCAGTTAATGGATGTATGGATTATTTCTACTTTTTGGCTATTATGAATAATGATGGTGTGAATATTTGTGTATAATTGGAATGCACGTATGTTTTCGTTTCTCTTGCATAGACATGGTCTCCTAATCAAATGGAAGATTTGGGTTTTGATTTGTATTTTCCTAATGACTAATGTTGATGATAATTATCTTATGTTATTCCTAATCTACACACACACACACACACACTGTCTCTCTCTCTCTCTCTCTTTCTCATATATGCACACATACTTAACTCCTTTATCTGATTTGCTAGATAGTTTTTTATGACGTTGGTCATTTCCATTTATTTATTTAGTTTTGAGACAGGATCTCATTCTGTCATCCAGGCTGGAGTGCAGTGGTACAGTTATGGCTCACTGCAGCCTCAACTTCCCAGGCTCAAGCAATCCTCCCACCTCAGTCCTCCTGAGTAGCTGGTACTACAGGTACACAGAACCATGCCTAACTTTTGTATTTTTTTATAGAGGTGAGGTTTCACTATGTTGCCCAGGTTGGGCTCAAACTCCTGGGCTTAAGTGATCCTGTCACCTTGGCCTCCCAACGTGCTGAGCTTATAGGTATGAGCCATTGTGGCTGGCTACATTGGTCATTTCAAATGACCAGCTCTTTTTTTCTTTAAGCCTCCTATTATATTTATTTGATTTAGTAAAGGTTTTATTTTTATTAATTACTTCCTGGTTTTAGTTTTTGTTTTGCTTAATTTTGTTTTTTTTACTTCTAATGTTTTCGGTTGAATACATAGCTCATTTTGGGATTGTATTTATTTTTAATTAAAACCAAAGCTGTTTCAAACAGTACATTTCACTCTAAATAATGCTGTATTTCATAACTTCTGGTAAATCTGTATTGATTTCCCAGTTGGATCCTGGGTTATTTAGGAAAAAGTTTCTTTTCTTCCCCTTTTTAAAAATAATATTTATTTAGGTTTATTCCAATACCATAAAATTCACCCACTTAAAGTATGCAGCTCGGTGGTTTTTAGTATATTAATAGAGTTGTGCAGCCATTACCATAATCTAACTTTAGAACCTTTTCAACACCCCCAAAAGAAATGCTGTCCTCATTAGCAGACATTCACCATTCATGCCACCTCATACCCCCAGCCCTTGGCAACCACTGTTTTATTTCTGTCTCTGTGGATTTGCCTATTCTGGATATTTCACATGAATGGAATTATGAAATATGTGGTCTTTTGTGACTGGCTTCTTTCACTTAGGGTAGCATTTTCAAGGTTCATCCATGTTGTAGTAGGTATCAGTACTTCTTTTGTATTACCAAATGTTATAGTATTCCATTGTGTGTGTGTGTGTGTGTGTGTGTGTGTATATATATATGCCAAATTTCGTTTATCCATTCATCAGTTGACATTAAACATTTGGTTTGTTTCTCCTTTTTGGCTGCTATGAATAATGCTGCTGTGAATATTTGTGTACAAGCTTTGGAATGGACATGGGTTTTTTTATTTCTCGTGCATAGATACCTATGAGAGATATTTCTGTGTTTTATGGTGACTCTGTGGTTAATATTTTGAGAAACTGCCAAATTGTTTTTCAGAATGAGTGCACCATTTTACAATCCAAACAGCAATGTATGAGAGCTCCAATTTGTTCACATCTCACCAACACTTGTTATCGTCTTTTCTTCTTGTTAGGCATTTTAGTGGATTGAGTTGGTCTCCTAGTACGTGAAAGATTATGGTTTTGATTTGCATTTTCCTAATGACTGATGTTGTTGAACATCTTATGTTAACAATCAGAGAATGTAAGCCTGTCAATTCCCAACATTAAAACATTTGTCAGATTTTTTGGTAGCCAAGTTATTTGAAAGAATTTGTAAAAGTTCCATGACTATAAGAGAAGAAAGCATATTTTCTCTCTTGCTTTGATATAACATCTTTTTAGTGTTTTTAAAATTTAACTTGCTCATGCCTTTTATTTTACTATTTATTTTACTTTCTTTTTCCTCTTCATCGCATTCTTACTTCTATTGTCTTAATTAAGTTTCTCTTCTTTTTAAGTAGATATTTTCCCTTTCCTAACAAGAATGACTAAATCTACAGTGCCTCTAATAATTGATCAGAATAAAATTGTACCTCAACTTGGACACAGAGACACTCTCTCCTCCCTAGTTCCCTCAATGGGGAAACAGTTTTACCTCTGGATATTTTTGAGTTAATTAAAAAACGTTAGTCCCAGGCTGTTACTATTTTTCCTTTAGCATGTCTCTTCTGTTTCAAGAAATTTTATTTAACTTTTTTCTTCTGAATTCAGGGTCATATTTGCACTGTCTGTCAAACAGAACCACATTTATTTTGAGCCTACCATGGTAAAGGTATCATATGATACAGCTTTGACAACGTGAACTTTGGAGCCAGGTAGACTGGGTTTGACTTAACATCGCTAAACCTCTAATTCTGCATGCATAAAATGGAATAATAATGATTATGACAACACATAGATGAAAGGATTGTTGTGTAAATTACCTGTTTCTACACATTACATGGTTCCTTATAACAACAATACTTGCTATCATGTATTAAGTATTTACCTGGGGCCAGTTCAGTTCAGTGCTAAGTGCCATTGAAACATAATCTCATCTAATTGTCACTACCAATTGAGATAAATATTTCAAATTCATTTTGAAAAATAAGCCTCGAGAAGCTTTTTCATTGTTCTCCTAGCTAAAATTTGGCAGAGCTGGAATTTAAGCCTTTATTAATTTTAGTCCAAATCTCATGGTCTTGCTCATATTTTATTTTAATTAATAACCAGAATATGTGTTTCCTGGACTTGATCTACCCCACAGTGTCCAGTGCAGTGAACTGTACTTTGGTTCCCCTAGGGAACCAAATGTTCTGTGTGGTGAGTGCTACCTGCCTCTGATCATATGGACACTGTTTTTCCAGGGTTCTTGAAGTCTCTGAAGAGTCCCTGGGCCAGATCTCATAGTGAAGGCTGCAGTATCTTCCTTCTGACCCCAGCAGTTCCCGTTGAGTCCACCGATCCCACTGGAATTCTAGAGTTGTCTGCAAGAAAGCCCGGAGGCTGAAGTCCAAGTCCGTCGGGAACATGCCAGCTAACGAGGACACTCCCCAGCCAGGGGGACATGGCAGTGCCTGTGAGGTGAGGAGGAGGAAGAGGTGCCCAGTAGGAAAGATACTATCTCATAGTTTTCATTTGTAGTACTTTTTTACTAGGCAGGTAAATTTCCTCCCATCCCCATTTTTATTGGTCATTTATTTCCATTTTGTGAATTTCCTTCTCTTGTCCATTGCTGATTTATTTATCTTAGCTTGTGGATTTTAAAAGAAGTTCTTAAAAATATTCAGGTCAATAGCCCTTTATCATTCTTGCATATTTTTATGAATATCTGTTGCCCTTTCATAAGTTGGAATTAGCTCTTAGTTTCATTTGCAAGTGGTAAAAGGTATCAAATAGTTCTCTTTTCTTAAAAAAAAATCTCTTCCATGCTTTGTTTTCCCCAGATTCCAGCTTCCCAGAAGCAAACACCCTTACTCTTTTTAATAGTTTTAAAGAATGTTTTGAGTTTTACCTATTTGCTTTCCACTATTGAAGACAGAGATTGAGCTTTCCTTTACACCCCCACTCACATACACATTTCCTAACCCACCTTGCTGAGATAGGTATATCATTGTTTTGGTGAGATTTATGGTCAGTGTTGATCATTGAATCCCATGGTATCCATGGTGTGATGACTATTTCTGCACAAGTTTTTTCTTTTCCCTGGAATTAACAATTTTCTGTCGCAGTCATTTGTTTGGGTTACTATATACATATCAATCATTCGACTCCAAATTCTTCCCTGGTGTTTAGATCTCCTTTCTATATGTTCAAACACATTAGATGATAATCACAGTGATAATAATTAAAAGCAGTCATACAACATTTACTGCATGCCAAGCACTGTTACACGAACTCTACATGTGTCCACTCATTTTCACAACAACTTCATGAAGTAGGTGCCATTATTATTACTGTTTTTAGACACGGGTCTCACTCTGTTGCCCAGACTGAAGTGCAGTGGCATCATCATAGCTCTTTGCAACCTCAAACTCCTGGGCTCAAGTGATCCTCCTATGTCAGCCTCCCAAGTAGCTGGGACTACAGGTCCAAGCCACTGTGCCTGCCTAGTAGGTGCCATTATTATTATTATTATTCGAGATGGAGTTTTCCTCTTGTCGCCCAACTGTAGTGCAATGGCACAATCTCGGCTCACTGCAACCTCTACCTCCCAGATTCAAGCAATTCTCCTACCTCAGCCTCCTCAGTAGCTGGGATTACAGGCACGTGCTACCATGCCTGGCTAATTTTTGTATATTTAGTAGAGATGGGGTTTCACCATGTTGGCTAGGCTGATCTCGAACTGCTGACCTCAGGTGATCCACCCATCTCTGCCTCCCAAAGTGCTGGGATTACAGGCGTGAGCCACCGCACCTGGCCTTAGGTGCCATTATTATCACCATTTCATAGAAGGGAAAACTGGGGCTTAGAGAAAAACCATTTGGCCCAGGTTTACACAGTAAATAGCCAGTAATAGGTGGGGCTGCTCTCATTTCTGGGCATCATTGTCTTCTCTCTGAAGAAATCTCTCCTGTAGCTTGACTTGCTAAAGTCTAGGCTGGTGGCTTTCTCAGTTTGACACAGAGCTGTTACTTTGGTGTCTTCCCTTCACCATCTCCCAGGAAATCCCCTTGACTTTTCTCTTGGGTCAGATCTCCTATTTCCCGGACCTTGTGTCTTCCTCTTTCTTGGCTTACCCCTTCATTTTGTGGGGAGCACATCCTCCTGGATATCCTTCAAAATGGATGCATGACAGGTACATTTTATGAAATTTTGCATGTCTGAAAATGTCATGCAGAAATGTATTTACTGAATACATATAACTGTATAAATATATATGTAGAAATGTAAACATGAATGCCATGGAAATATACCTATTTCATTCTGACACTAAATTTGTCTTTTTAGCTGAGAATAGAATTCTAGATTAGAAATCATTTTTATGCCCAATTTGAAAATCTGTTTTCAAGTTCTTCCTAGGCCTTTTCTACTCACATGTACATTTTCTCTGCTTTTCAAAAACTCATCTTATTTGGTTGTTGATGCTCCTTTGTAAAAATTATTTTCTTTACTGATTTCCATTTCTGTCTCTTTTGCTGTCTCTTCTAGTAGTACTTTTTAAAGAACTTTGTCTTCTAAATCTTCTTTTATATCTCTCATTAATGCTGTTATATTTTTGTCTTCAGAATATTTTTGTCTTATGGATGCAGCAGCATCATGTCATTCTAAAGATATTAGTAGTAGTTTTTGTAAACTTAATTTTTTTGAATAAAGCATAGAAAAATGGATCAAAAAATTAAAGACATATAAAAAGCTATACAGGTTGAGCATCTCGAATCCAAAAATCCAAAATCCGAAATGCTCCAAAATCTAAAGCTTTTGAGCACTGACATGACATTCAGAGGAAATGCTCATTTGGATTTTGGATTTTCAGATTAGGGATGCCCAACTTAAGTATAATGCAGATATTCTAAAATCTGAAAAAAAAATCCCAAATCCCAAACACTTCTAATCCCAAGCATTTCAGATAAGGGGTACTCAGGCTGTATGGTCTAAATTCTCTTATCCATCTTTCTCCTGTCTGCTCAGCTCTCTCTAATACATATAACCAGGTTAATTAGTTTTTCTCTGTATGATTAGGATTTCTTTATGCAAATAACAGCAGCTGAGAGCACATTCTTATTTTCTCCTTTTTATGTCACAGAAGGTAGCCTACTAAAGAAATTTTTCTCGATTTTTGTTGATTTAAAATATTTCAGTGAAACATAATATGATTTATAAGCAATGCTGCTAGGAACAGGCATGTCTCCTCATGCACGTGTGTATACCCTCTCTTAAGTATATGGGGGGTGAAGTTTTTTTTTTTTGAGATGGATTTCTTGCTCTGTCACTAGGCTGGAATGCAGTGGCAGGATCTTGGCTCACTACAACCTCTGCCTCCTGGGTTCAACTGATTCTCCTGCCTCAGCCTTCTGAGTAGCTGGGACTACAGGTGCCTGCCACCATGCCTGGCTAACTTTTGTATTTTTAGTAGAGACAGGGTTTCAGCATGTTGGCCAGGCTGGTCTTGAACTCCAGATATTGTGATCCACCCACCTTGACCTCCCAAAGTGTTGGGATTACAGGCGTGAGCCATTGCACCCAGCCAAGGGAGGTGAAGTTAATGGGTCGTAGTTATGTCTTTTAAAAACGTTTTTATTGAGAAATGTAACATATGTACAGGAAAGCATACAAAACAGACTGCATGGCTGAGTGAGTTATCCTTCCATAGGCCTAGAAAGAGTCCATAGTTAGCATTCCACAATGCCTCTACTCCCAGAGCTAACTACTACCCTGACTTTTATGATAATCACTTCTTTAAGAAGAAAATCGCAGCCAGGCACGGTGGCTCACACCTGTAATCCCAGCACTTTGGGAGACTGAGGCAGGTGGATCACCTGAGGTCAGTCAGGAGTTCGAGACCAGCCTGACCAACATGGTGAAATCCTGTCTCTACTAAAAATACAAAAATTAGCCAGGCATGGTGGCAGGCACCTGTAATCCCAGCTACTTGAGAGGCTAAGGCAGGAGAATTGCTTGAACCTAGCCAAGATCATGCCACTGCAGTCCAGTCTGGGTGACAAGAGCAAGACTCCATCTCAAAAAAATAAAAAAAGAAAACTGCAATCCACAGAGTGGGAGAAGGTATAAACAACAGAGAACTTAAACCCAGAACATATAAAGAACAAGAAAATAACAAGAAAAGGCAGAATACCCAGTAGTCAGAAGCCTTCTTGAACAGATAACGTAACAGATTGAGGTATTCAGATGGCTAATAGACACGTGAGACAGTGTGCAATCTCATTATTCATCAGGGAAATGCAAATTTAAAGCACCACGTAATGCAACTACCCCTCACCACCACCACCAGAATGGCTATAATTTAGAACACTGACAATGACAAGTGTAAGTGAGGAGGAGGAGGAGGAGCACTGCTGATGAGAATGTAAATCAGTACAATCTCTGGAGGACATTTCAGCCTTATTCAACCATACATATGTAGACCATATGAGGAAACAGTTCTCCTAAGAAAACACCCAGCAGAAATCCTTGGCTGATGTACCAGGACATATGTATAAATGCTCACTGTAGCATTACTTCTAACAGCCATAAACTGGAAATAATGCAAATGTCCATCAATAATAGAGCGGGGCCTGGTGTGGCAGCTCATACTCGTAATCCCAGCACTTTGAGAGGCTGAGGCAGGAAGATCATTAGAGGCCAGGAATTTGAGACCAGTCTGGGCAACATAATGAGATCCCATCTCTACAAAAAAAAATTAAAATTAAAAAATAGAATGGATAAATACATTGAACATAATATTGAGTGAAAGATAGCAGACGCCAAAGAATTTGTTGTGTTTATTTCAATTTACACAACAGGAAGTTTTAAGACAGGAAAAGCAAAAACATATAGTATAGGGGGTACATTTGTAGGTGATAAAACGTGAAGGCAAAGTGAGGAAGTGCTTACCATCTGAGGCAGAATAGTGATTTCCTTGACCAGGGACATCACAGGGAGGGAGGGAAAGAGGCATGAGAAAGGCTTCCAGCAAAGGAGGTAGCCATGTTCTGTTGGTAATTAGGTTGGTATTTGCTTTGAATGATTAGTTAAGGGGAGTATTTGTTTCATATGTTTTTCTGCACGAATCTTATATTTAATAATCTTTTGAAAAGAAAAAAATGTACCCTCCAATTTTGACCCCAGTAGCCCATATATTCTTTCCCAAGGCAGCTACAGATAGTCTGTCCATACAAACACGTGCACTCATGCACAGGCACACACACACCCCAACACCCTTATATCCATTTTTAAACTGAAATATTAGCATACAAAATTCCTAGCACTTGCTTTTCTCCCTTAACAATAAAGCCTGGTGATTATTCAGTGTCACTCCATGTAATGAGTTACCTCATTCCTTTACAAGGCTAAGTCTTATTCTGTTATATGAATATATCAAAATATGCTAAGCAGTTTTCTATTAATAGACATTTAAAATGTTT